CTGCAGGATGACGCAGATAGATTTTTGTGATGGTTGGACAAATCAATTGTTTGCATAAGAGTTTTCAAGATTTTTCAGTGATTAAAAATTGCGCTTGTCTAAAAGGACTGAGAAACATCACAAGCCTAGTATTTCAGCAANTACCTTTTGAAAAATATCGATTAAAACTTTTCCATTTATTTAAAAGTAGCTTTTCAGACGAGCACAATAACCCCGTTACTTATCATCAGAAAATGCTATTTTTTATGATTATACATAGACACTAAATTATATACTTACAATGTACATTAACTTGTATAGATTTAGATCTTGTTTTAGGGATGGTATTTTTAATATTGGTAGCTTCACATCTATAGTTTCCTTCCTGATTTCTTTTTATTTGAGTCAATACAATATCTTTAGTTGATGATGCAACTGGTCCAGTCCATTTATAATTACACTGATAACAATCAGTTAAACATGTTATAGTTTGATCTCTACCTTCTATTATATTGATACTAGTTACATCTGATGAGAAAGTAAGTTCATCAGGACCATCTGAAATAATAACAATCAGTTAAACATGTTATACTTTGATCTCTAACTTCTATCATATTGATACTTGTTACATCTAGTGAGAAAGAAAGTTTATCCGTATGGAAGGCGGAATTGCTTTTTATTCAATGTTCTTCATTCTTAATTCTTATCTCTTAAATGGTACGTTTAATGCTACATTTGTAAAATCAAATCGTTTGTACATTCTTTGATAAACATTCGGTTTTCCAATTATTGAAGTAATAGAATCTTTGCCAAAAATATCCTCAAATACAAATCTAGCTCAACATATCTTCGAATGCAAAACGTCAAACACAAAACTCTTCCAACAAATGTTAAAATGCAAATGTTCAATAACAAATCACACTCAATATCGAATATATTCGGTCATGATTATGACGACAGGTGTTGCTGTAGGGCTATGCCGATTGCCATTCCGCCTTCCATATATTCGGACCATCTGAAATAATAACAATAGTTAAAGGGACTTAGACTTTTTATGTATAAAATGGCCAGTTTTGAATACAGTGAGGAGGCGAACATTTTGTAAATCAAGTCAGTCCAGCATTAACGAATGGTATCCTACAAGGCTCTGTTATTAGCCCTTCCATCTTAAGCATCAATGATCTTGCCCAGTAATATTTGAAGCATAAGGAGCTCTCTATTAACACGGCGCTATATGCTGATGATAGTTCTATATGGAGTACACACATCGACTATACCTGTTTTCGTTATACAAAAATCTTAAATGTTATGCGTTAAGTTTCAGGTAAAACATGGGAACAAACAGAGAAAATTTAATGATGATGTACAGTTCCTTGGTTTTGACACTCAACTGAAGAAATGGTACGAAGAATGAGACGCTACTTCAGGAGGCCAGAGAGAAACCCTTGTCTCTTCAGAGGGAGGAACTTTCTCTCAAATTCTCAAACCAAGTTTCGTCAAAATCCACCAAGAAACCAGCTCTCTATCGTGTCCACAAACAATGGACAGACCGACAGACAGGGGCGACGGTTATATACGCCCACATTAATGTGTGGGCGTATAAAAAGTGGGTTTACTGGACTTTAAGACTATGTTTGCTTGAAAAAGGTTTGATTTGGTTGAATTTGAGGCACGTGTGATCTACATCATCATCAATGTTACGAAATAACTCTTCTCCAAAAAACAATGGTATACATCGAATCAATCTGTTCGCAACAGGTCGATTTGAGAGACTGTTGGACGTCCAAACGTCCCTTAAACCCAGGATACAGATAGGAGGTTGAAACTTATATTGTGTTTTTAATTTTGCTGTATAAACATATCACAGTTTATTATATGTGAGTTATCATTTTCATGTATAGGATAGGATACAATATTGATACAAGTAGTATTAAGTCTAAGTTTATGATGTGGTGGATGATTTAGCGTAAATGTCATACAAAAACAATATTCATT